TATATATGAATATATGAAAAATATATAAAAATGCATGTGGGTACTCAAATGAAAGCTCTTGATGAGTATAACATCAGGATGAGCTTGTATCTTAAAAAATGTGATTGTATGACATTGTATCTTGTCAACTAATGACATTTTTAAAGATATAAGCTCACTCTAACATTACATTCTTCGAGACCTTTCATTTGAGTACTCATATCAATTTTTCATATATTTTATATATTTATATATATGTATATATGAAAAATATATCAAAAATTGATGTGGGTACTCAAATGAAAGCTCTTGATAAGTGTAACACCAAAATGAGCTTATATCTTAAAAAATCTCAATATTTACGAAAATACACTCCAATTTACCAAAAGTAATTATTCAATGTAAAATTTTCTTTATTCATACCACTCAAATCACTGCAGTCACGTAGTGACTGCAAGATTGCTAATAATAATAAAACAAATTAAAGTTCGCAGTGAGATACAACCGACTCCTCGGAAAGAAAGTCCTCTTTCCTTTCGGCTTCCACTGCACCGGGATGCCCATAAAAGCCTGCGCCGACAAATTAATGCGCGAGATGCAAGTCTTCGGCTACCCTCCAAACTTCCCCGACCAAAAGGAAGAAGTCACCACCATAGAAGACGCAACTGCCGCAATAATCAAGGACAAAAGCAAAGGAAAAAAGAGCAAAGCCGTCGCTAAGGCCGGAACGGCTAAATACCAGTGGCAAATCATGCGTAGTCTTGGAATCGAAGATTCCGAGATAAAAAAATTCGCTGACGCGTCCTACTGGCTGGACTATTTCCCCCCTCGAGCCGTCAGTGATTTAAAATCAATCGGCCTTCACGTCGACTGGCGGCGCACTTTCATCACAACCGACGCAAATCCTTTCTTCGATTCCTTCGTAAGATGGCAATTCCAACATTTAAAAGCCAAGAACAAAGTCAAGTACGGAAAACGCTACACTATTTTTTCTCCCAAAGACAACCAGCCTTGCATGGACCACGATCGATCCTCTGGAGAAGGTGTAGGTCCTCAGGAGTACACTCTAGTTAAAATGAAAGTCCTTGAGCCTCCAAAGAAGCTCAAAAATTTTACAAATGTTTATTTAGTCGCTGCGACTTTAAGACCCGAGACTATGTACGGACAAACTAATTGTTGGATCCACCCAGAGATTAATTACATTGCTTACACTTTGGCTAACAATGACGTCTTTATTTCCACTAAAAGAGCCGCGAGGAATATGTCTTACCAAGGATTCATGAAAGTTGAAGGAGAGATTCCTATTATTGCCGAATTTGTTGGCCAAGAATTAATGGGACTGCCTTTAAGTAGTCCCTTGACCAGTCATAAGATTATTTATACTCTTCCTATGTTGACAATTAAAGAAGACAAAGGTACCGGAGTTGTTACTTCAGTTCCCAGTGACTCTCCTGACGATTACGCAGCGCTTGTTGATTTAAAAAAGAAACAAGCTTTAAGAGAAAAATACAAAATCAAAGATGAGATGGTTCTTCCTTATGAGCCAATTTCTGTGCTAGAAATTCCCGAATTTGGTAATTTAGCTGCCGTTACTTTATACAACCAATTAAAAATCCAGTCTCAAAATGACAAAGAAAAACTCCAGCAGGCCAAAGAGATGGTTTATTTAAAGGGATTTTACGAAGGGGTGCTCTTAGTTGGAGAATATAAGGGTAAAAAAATTCAGGATGTAAAAAAAATGATCCAGAAGAAGATGATTGATGAAAAATCAGCTGTTGTTTATTACGAACCTGAAAAATTAATTATCTCGAGATCTAATGATGAATGTGTGGTTGCTCTGTGCGACCAGTGGTACTTGGACTACGGAGAAGCTTCGTGGAAAAAAGATGCGCTAAAAGCGCTGGAAAATATCGAGACTTTTCACGAAGAAGTTAGAAAGAATTTCTTGGCTTGTTTAGATTGGCTGCATGAGTATGCTTGCTCGAGGACTTATGGATTAGGAAGTAAGCTACCTTGGGATGAAAATTGGCTTATAGAGTCGCTATCTGACTCTACGATTTACAACGCGTATTATACAGTGGCTCACTTGCTCCAGGGTGGAAGTTTCAAAGGAGACAAGCCTAATGTTTTGGGGATTAAAGCTGAGCAAATGACTCCTGAAGTTTGGGACTATATATTTTTTAAAAATGTTAAGTTACCTAAAACGGGGATTAAAAAAGAGGCGCTGGAAAATATGCGCCGGGAATTTCAGTACTGGTACCCGGTAGACTTGCGAGTTTCTGGGAAAGATTTGATCCAGAATCATCTTACGTTTTATATTTATAACCATGTGGCAATTTGGGAAAACCAGGAGGAAAATTGGCCACGTGGAATTAGAGCCAATGGACACTTGATGCTGAATTCCGCGAAAATGTCCAAGTCCGAGGGGAATTTCTTGACTTTGACTGAAGCTGTGGAGAAGTTTTCTGCTGATGGTATGAGATTGTGTCTTGCAGACTCGGGAGATTCTGTTGAAGATGCTAATTTTGTTGAGTCTATGGCAGATGCTGGGATTTTAAGGTTGTATACTTTTATTGAGTGGGTAAAAGAGGTTGTGGAGACTGAAAATACTTTCAGGAAAGGAAAGCCGGTTACTTTTAATGACAAGGTCTTTTTAAGTGAGATGAATTTGAAGATTCAGGAGACTAAGGAGAATTATGAAAAAATGTTGTATAAGGAAGCTTTGAGGACGGGATTTTTTGAATTGCAGACTGCGAGGGATAAATATATACAGCTTAGTGCGTTAGAGGGAGTCAATTGGGGTTTAATTATGGATTATATTGACCTGCAAACTATTTTATTGGCTCCGATTTGTCCGCATGTTTGCGAACATGTTAGGAGTGTTATTAATAAGGAAAGTGTTCTTAAAGCAAGATGGCCTGAAGTTGGAAATATTGATAATATTTTGATAAAATCTTCGCAGTATTTAATGGATGCGGCGCACTCTTTTAGGATCTTGTTGAAGAATTATAGTGTGAAGAAAACTGGCAAGGGAAAAATGGAGAAAACTGAGGGAGAGAAACCGGACCGGGGAATAATTTGGGTCGCTAAAACATTTCCTCCGTGGCAAAGTATGGTTTTGACGACGATGAAGGAGCTTTATTGTAAGAATAATAATTTGTTGCCGGATAATAAAGTTATTAGTGTGGAATTGGGGAAGAGGAATGAACTTAAGAAGTATATGAAGCGAGTGATGCCGTTTGTGCAAACTACGAGGGAGAAGATGCAAACTGTAGGGATTAATGCGCTAAATTTGACACTGGAGTTTGATGAAGTTAGTGTTCTTAAGGGGAGCAAGGAGTATTTGAAGAGTACGCTTGATTTGGAGGATATTGAGATCCAGTATACTGATAATGCGCCGGAGAAAACTAAGGAGGAATGCTGTCCTGGAGCGCCGTATATTAGTTTCTTTGCGAGTCCAGGGGTGGGGGTTAGGGCGATTAATCCGCAGAAGTGCAGTGGGCTTTTTACGGTGGGTGTTAAGGTTTGCGAGGGGAATACTGCGGAGGATGTCAAGGGGAAAATTGCGAAGGAGAATAAACGGATTAAAGGTAATTTTTATTTTTTATAAGTAATTTAATTGAGGCTTTAAGAGAAAATTATAAGAGACTTTTTTTATAAAATTGAATTTTGAACGTTTAGTTGAAAATTTTTTTAATGAATAATGTTTTTGCTGTAATTTGTTAATTGAGATTAATACAAACGAGCAACCTAGTCACTATGTGACTTCTGGGGCTTGTGATATATAAGTAAATGAAATTTTGGTTTATTAAATAGATTTTTGTTAAATTGTAATGTATTTTCTTAAATATTGACGGGTTTAAAGAGATAAGCTCATTTTGATGTTACACTCGTCAAGAGCTCTCATTTGAGTATCCACATGCATTTTTGATATATTTTTCATATATACATATATATAAATATATAAATATATGAAAAATTGATGTGGGTACTCAAATGAAAGGTCTTGATGAGTGTAATGTCGAGATGAGTTTATATCTTTAAAAATGTCAATATTTCACAAGATATTTGTTAAATTGCACTGTACTTTGTTAAATATTGAGGTTTTTAAAGATATAAGCTCATTCTGGGGTTACACTCATCAAGAGCTTTCATTTGAGTACCCGCATGTATTTTTGATATATTTTTCATATATACATATATATAAATATATAAAATATATGAAAAATCAATGTGGGTACTCAAATGAAAGGTCTCGTTGAGTATAACATCGGGATGAGCTTATATCTTTAAAAATATCATTAGTTGACAAGATACAATGTCATTTCTTAAATATTGACAAATTAACGCAAAAATTCTGACCATACTTATTAATAAATAACTAAAATTTCTAGATGTATCATCGGTGCTTCTCTACCGGTACGAAGACCCAGTCCTAGGACCTCGAACAATATCTCACCTGGAGAATATTCTCAATGGAAAAGTACTGATACCTTCAGACGCAGTATTCAACGTCAACCTTGAAACTAAAACAATAAAAATTAATAGCAAATCAAGCAAAGAGAGCCATTCACTAGGAGATGAAATTTTGTACTTTATCAAGTAGCACTGTTAAAATAATCTAACTTATTTAATAAAATAACCCTCTTGATAAACTGTTTCATATATCAATCATTAAATTTATTTTATTAAATTATTACAGAATGAAAAAATAACATATAAATATTTTATCAGCAAGATAACAAGTTCAAGTATGCAAAAATACAAAATATAATATAAACTTTATCAAAAAATGACCGTGAAAAATTAACAGAAGACTCAAACAGTTGTTTCTCTCTCTTGCGACTTCCAAGAGTCAACTTCACTTCTAATTTTAGCGATATCAGCAGCAGTGGTTCTGCAGCAGCCTCCAATATACTGAACTCCGAGTTCCAGCCACTCGTGAGTGTACTTCTTGAAGTCACAAGACTTTCCATTTTCCTTCCAACCTTCTCCAGGAGTAAAAACTTCCCCACTATTTGGGTAAGCTATTAAAGGCACTGGTTTTCCTTCACAATCTTTATTAATCTTGGACAAGTAAGCCGAGACGTGATGAGGCGACAAGCAATTAACACCAACAGCAATCAGCTGACCTGGCAGCGCATTTTTGTAACACTTTAAGGCAGTTTCTTTAAAATTATTACCATCTACCAGAGTGGACCCGTCAGTGGAGCACGAGAAAGACAGCCAGGCTCTGGTGGTTGGAAACTCTTTCAACAATTCCACCAGAGCTTCACCTTCCTCGGCGCAAGGAATAGTTTCAATTGCCAGAAGATCAACCCCGGCTTTTATCAGAGTCTCCATTCTGGGTCGGTGCCAATCTTTCAAGAATTCCTTGGACACTTTCTTGCCGTAAAACCCGGTGTACTCTGAACAGTCATGAAGAACAGCACCGTAGGGTCCGCAAGACCCGGCGATCAAAGGGTTGTCATTAACCGCGTTCTCGTTGTCTTTTATTTCTTCTTTGTAGATTTTTACAGCTTGCTTAGCAAGATCTACTGCTTTTACAATTATGTCCAAGCTGTCAGCTTCAGTGACACCAAGGTACTTACAAAAGCCGTCCATTGATGCCTGGTAGGTGTTTGTCTCGATTATGTCACTACCTGCTCGCAGAAAATCTAAGTGCGTGTCACGGACCGCGTCCGGGTTTGTCACCAAGAAACGCGCCGTCCACAGTGGATCTCCATCTGGGTTCTTGTTCACGTGAGTGAAGATTTGAGATGAATAACTTCCGTCTAACACTTTCACCTTGGTCATTTTTTCTTTTGTTTATTTTTATTGTTAATTATTAATTTTTTTAAAATAATTTTAGATACAGTACAGGTAAGAAGATTAAGGTTAGTGATTCAATGCACTAGAATTATATAAACTGGACGCTATCCGGCGAACTGCGTAATATAATAATGCACGTGCATATATACGGTATTGTGATTGTTGAAAAATAAAAATAAAAATAAAAAAAAAAAAACAAAAGACAACGCTACCTACTGGAAGTTATTTTAAGATGTTTGAATTAATGTCGTTAACTGTCAACGAGTGTAATGGATGAATATAAATGATATTAAAGTTAGCTGTCACTTGATAAATTTTTAATTTTATTTAACAATTAAATTAACTCTGAAAAATTATTAAAAAAAAAAAAATGTTTTTATTTTTAAAAATTAACAAATGTCAATTTTTTTTGCCATAATTTAGTTATAGAATTTTAAAAATGATTAAATACATGCTAAATTAATTTTTATTAAAGTTAGTTGTCACTTGAATATTTTATAATTTTATTTAACAAAGAAATTTGTTCCGAAAAATTATTTAAAAAAAAATACATTTTTAATTTATTAAATTTTCTAAATGTCCATTTTTTTGTGCAGTAATTTATTTATTAGAAAAATTATTAAATATCTGCTAAATTAATTTTCATTGAAAATAATCATACTTTTATGAAATATCAATCTTCATAATTTATTTATCTGAATCGATTTTTTTTATTGATCAGATTTTTATATTAAGTTTTATAAATATTTTATTATTTTGCAATTTATTTTTTTAAAAATAAATCTATATTATAAATGATCGTGAAGTGAGCTGACAGCTGTCAATTTTTTAATAAATTAATTATTTTTAAAAAATGCTTCTTAAAATTTCCACTTATTATTTTTATGACACTGAAATTTACAGCTGTTAGAACTTTTTTTTATAATTTTATAATGAAAATAAATTTAGAAGATATTTAATAATTTTTAGAATTCTTTTAAACAAATAAATTATCGCAAAAAGAATGAAAAGGAAATATTGACAAGTAGAAATTTTAAAAAATTATAAATGCAATTTTTTAAAAATCATTTTTCAAAAAAAATTTGATAAAATTAAAAAATTATCATCAAGTAACTGTTGACTTTAATGTCGTAATTTTATAGCAATTAAATTATTATTGAAAATTTTTCAAAGACATTTTTTTAAGTGTAATTGATTTGTTCACTTCAGTATCATCAATTTTTTTTTAATTTTCACATTAAAAATGTTTATTATCTGTTAACTTCAGTGTTAATAAAAATGATAGTGAAGTTAGTTGGCATCCGTCCATTTTTTTAATTCTTTTAACAAATTACAACAATAAAAACACTTTAAAAAATTTGTGAACATTAATTTAGCAAATATTTGATAATTATATAATAATAAAAAAAAATTGACATGTAGAAATTTAAAAAAATTAAAAATGCAATGTTTCAAAAATAATTTTTTGGAACAAATTTATTTGTTAAAAAAAAAAGTAATCAAGTGACTTCTAATATTAATATCATACAATATTTTTGTTTTTGTAATTTTCACACATGAAATTTTTTTATAATAATTTCATTGCTATAAATTAAAAAAAAAAATTTTTAATATCTGCCAGCTTCAGTGTCATTAATGAAAACATAATAAGGTACGGTAAATAATTTAATCCCCTAATTAATGATACTAAAATCAGACATCCAAAAATTATTTATTCTTCATAATAAATAATTAATTTTTAATATTCACGTAGAATAAAATAAATTTTATAATAATTATAAATTTATAAAAACTACAATTAATTTCAGTATCATCTTTAACAACCCAAGAATATTATTAAAACAATTAACATAAAAATTTTTATTAACAGTTATTCACAACAAGGAATAATTTTTTTCTTCTGCCATTTCCTGACTTCGACAATAATCTTAGCGACATCATCAGCATAAGTTCTACAGCAGCCTCCAACATATCTAACTCCCAAATTCAACCACTCATCAATAAAAGTTTCCAGCGGAGGTTCATTCCCAGTTTTCTTCCAGCCTTCAGAAACAGTGTAAGTCTCTCCACTATTAGGATAAACAATCAGCGGAATAAACTTATCACCCTTATCCTGAATTCCCTTTAACAGAGGCGTGACAGCAGTTGGAGCAAGACAGTTGACTCCGACAGCAACCAGCTGTCCCTTAACTGCATTATTGAAGCAAGAACAAGCGACACTTCTGAAGTCGCTGCCATCAACAATGGACCTCCCATCATTCTTACACGAAAAGGACAACCAGGCCTTGATGTCCGGGAACTCCTTGATGAGTTCCACCAGCGCTTCGGCTTCTATTTGGCAAGGAATAGTCTCCAGAGCGATGAAGTCAACTCCGGCGTCAATGAGGGTCTGGATACGAGGTCTGTGCCATTTTTTTAAAAATTCTTTTGATATATTAGAAGCATATTCACCTGTATACTCCGACCCGTCATGCAAGGAAGCTCCATAAGGGCCACAAGACCCGGCAATCTTCGGTTTTTTGTTAGAAACTTCCTTGTCTTTTATTTCAAGCATATAAACTTGGAGCGCCTGCTTCGCCAGGTCCACTGCTTTAGTAATTAAATCGAAACTCTCGACTTTTGATAGTCCCAAGTGCTGAACAAACCCTTCGATAGATGCCTGGTAGGTGTTGGTGATTATTATATCCGCTCCGGAGCGCAGAAAATCTAGGTGGGTTTGATAGACTGCGGTAGGATTTGTTGCTAGAAATCTTGCAGTCCAAAGAGGATGCCCGTCGACTTTCTCGCCCACGTGGACGGAAAGCTGGGTGGAAAACCCGCCGTCTAAAATTACTACCGACATTTGCACAGCTTCAATCACCACTAAGAGCTGTCTCTTAGAACACAGATGAATAATTCTGGTATTTTATTCAGCTGGTGATTGAGCTTAATAAAAATGAGATTCCAAAGGTCACAATTAATGCCACTTTAACTCACGGATATTATATTGGAGTTTATCAGTACTCGTGTAATTTATAACACAACATTTATCTAGAGATGGTTTGTTTTTTTTATAAACAATAACATTTTACTAAAGGTTTTATTTTAACGTCAAAACAATTATTAATGGTAAATATTTACAAGTCGGGTCAACTATTTTTATTTTTATTTGATTTTATTGATATTTTTTTTTGGAAAATACGTAAGAAAATAAGTTAAAAAAAAAGTTAATTACAATTTTAAAAATTTTTTTTTTAAATTTATCCATTTTTTAGAAAGTTGGGATATTGAAATTTATTTTAAATTGTTCGATGTTTTAGGTACTTTTAAAAAAAATACATCAAAAAAAGATAAAATAGAAATTTTAACCAAAAACATGAGAGCCAAAATTTTTTCCAACTTTTGGAGGAAAAAAAGCTATCGAAATTAATTTTTTTCAAAAATAGTAGAACAAAAAAAACAAGTAGAATAAAAAAAATTTAAAAATGTTAATTTTTCACCTAGTTATGTCTCATAATGGGTTGACCATACTTGTAAATAATTACTGGATTGGTAAAAATTTACAAGTGGGGTCAACTATTTCAATTTTCATTTTTTTTAACAAAATTTTTATTTGATTTTATTGATAAATTTTTTTTTTGAAAAATACATCAAAAAATAAACGATTTAAGAAAAAAAAAAGATTATTATCATAATTTTAACAAACTTTACTAATTTTTAAAAAAGTTTATAAATTTTTTAGAAAATTGTGATATTCAACTTTTTTTTTTAATTGTTATTTTTTTTGTGTACTTCTAAAAGAAAAAATATTTAAAATATCAAAAAAAAGATAAAATAGAAATTTTATTCAAAAACATGAGCCAAAATTTTTTCCTCTTGAAGGCAAAAAATCTATCAAAATCTTTATTTTTTTTTCACGACATTTTTTATCATAAATTCTTTGTAAAAACAAGCAGAATAAAAAAAAATTTTTCACCTCACTATGACCCAAAATAAATTTGACCCCACTTGTAAATAATTACTGGATTAAATTTATATCAATTTATTGTTGTTATATTACTTATATTTGACCAGACTTTTTAATTGATAAAAATAACAATGTTTACAAAAAATTATGTGATTATTTATCATATTATTTTTATTTATAAATTTATCTCACTGTTTATTAATCTCTCATTTAAATTGCTTGATAAATCTTCTTTTAATAAAATTTATGTGTCTGTAAATATTACAATTATAAATTTACTACGTTTCACTCGATTATTTAAATCGTTTAAATTTATAGTATACATTAATCATTTGTCAATTTATTTTAAAAAGCAATTTATAAAATACTTGTGATGAAAAAAATTTTTTTTTTAGTAATTTCCACATTTAATTAGACAAAAAAAAATTAAATTGATATAATATGTACAATTAGTATAGATATATACGATTAAAATATAAATAAAATTTTATCACAAATTCATTTCAAGCCAATTAAATATCGGAAATTTTTCGAGGTGCTTTTATCATTTTTTTTTTTAATAATTAATTAATGTAAAAATATATTAAAAACTATTAAAGTGTAAAAAGAGTTAGCTTAGGTCCTCCTTTGGTTAATAAATATTATTGGCAATAGAAATATTTATCAAAAATAATTAATAAATATTTCTAACCATTTATAAAAAATCACTAGACTTATTTTAATTGTGATAATTTTGAATAGATAAATTACCTAAATATAATTAGAGTCGTAATTAATTTTCTTAAACTGTGCGTAAAAAATCTAATGCAATATTAAAAAAAATTAATTAATTAATTTAATCCTAATTATTAATTATCGAATGCTACCAAGAGGAAACCACTCAATAGTTTCGTTAGTAAGCTCGAAATGACCGAGAGGCAAGCGGATACCACCGAGAAATTCATTTTCTTGCAAAGTATCATGATTCCAAATAGTTGCTTCAAGTGTCCGCTCTTTGACAACATCCAGCGGCATTCTGTACTCCAGCATTTCCATAAATGATGGATGACAGTTTTTTTTAACTACTTTTGTCTTTCGTTTGGTTGCTTTTGTCGGGTCTGGCTTGAGGTATACTTTTACATAAGTATTCGGCTCTTGAGCATTGGCAACCTTTGGCAAGCCTCTGGCGTGGTGAATCATTACTGATAATGTACCACGGCTGTAGTGTAAGGATAGTTTTATTTGTCCGCATTGAATGTTGTCTCTGACTCTCTTCTCGGCCCACCAATTTCCTACTGAAATTATTTTTAGGTAAAAAATTAATTATTATGATAAGTATTTAGGCTGCATTCGAAAATATCTCTAGATACATAATTAAGAAATGACCTTGTATCTTGTGAAATATTGAAGTTTTTAAAGATATAAGCTCATTCTGATGTTACACTCATTGAGACCTTTCATTTGAGTACCCACATGCATTTTTGATATATGTTTCATATATACATATATGTAATATATATAAATGTATGAAATATATGAAAAATTCATGTGGGTACTCAAATGAAAGGTCTCGATAAATGTAATGTCGAGATGAGCTTATATCTTTAAAAATTTCAATATTTCACAAGATATTTGTTAAATTGCACTGTAGTTTCTTAAATATTAACGTTTTTAAAGATATAAGCTCATCCTGACATTACACTCCTCAAGACCTTTCATTTGAGTACCCACATCAATTTTTCATATATTTTATATATTTATATATATATATATATATTATATATATAAATATGAAAAATATATAAAAATGCATGTGGGTACTCAAATGGAAGCTCTTGATGAGTGTAACATCAGGATGAGCGTATATCTTTAAAAATGTCAATAATTAAGAAATTATATTGTATTTTGTCTACTCGTGATATTTTTAATGATATAAGCTCACTCCAACATTACACTCATCGAGACCTTTAATTCAAGTACCTACATCAATTTTTTATATATTTTATATATTTATATATATTACATATATGTATATATGAAAAATATATCAAAAATGCATGTGGATACTCAAATGAAAGCTCTTGATGAATGTAACATCGAAATGAGCTTATATTTTAAAAAACGTTAATATTTACGAAAGTACAGTGCAATATAACAAAAGTCATCATTTAATAAACCAAAATTTTGTTTATTTATAGTTCATAAATAACAGCAGTCACTATGTGACTGCAAGGGTGCTAGCAATTAATTATTTATTTATTTTTAATTTTTACCTTTTACTTTACGAAGATGAATATCAGCATTTTGCTGATCTCGAAGAAGCGGGTGAAAAAATGTATAAACAAGGTCACTTTGTGATATTTCAGGTGCCATTTTAAATAGGCTAAGTAAAAATTTTTCGATATCTGCTCGTCGTTTATCTGCTACTTGTTTGATATTTGATCTGCCTACGCTCATACCATTCGGTAAACTGAAAGTAAATAAACAAAAAATTATTACATAAAATAAAATAAATTAAAAAAAAAAAAAAAAACAAATAAATTTATAGCTGAGATTATGCGAAGATTCAATCGAACAAAACAAATTTTTCAATTCCACGTGCTGAAGCATTTTTTAGTTATAAATAATCTCGAGCGTACGGACAAATTAGATAGAGCGTTATAAACTGATAATTCACGATGAATCACCTATAATTAAGGTCTATTTGAGATAAGACAAGATAACTAGCGCGAATCAAACAATAAAATTCCCTGGGACAATTATCAGTGTTATATATTTGTTGTAATAAACGACAGTATTATATTTTATATTAAGTTTGACGATATGGGTTTGAAATGGTTTCGTGCGAGAATGAAAATCCAGCAGAAAAATTCATCTGCAGAAATTCCGGGACTATATCGGCAATTTTCACAGTTTGATAGAGAGCCTGCAAGATCTGAAGATAAAAACACACTGAGTACATCAGAACCAGAACAACCTAGAGCTTTAATCCAGCCAAAAAATATTCCAGTGTCTCCAGTGGTAAAAAATCTTACACCGCCTCAAAATCCATTGGCCAAATTATCCAGTTCTGAAGATGATAATTCTAATAATGGAATAAATTCTAGAGAGAATTTTGTACCAAAAATAGAGATGAATTCTTCTGGAATGACTAAAAATAAAATGAAGAGTAAGAAAAAAGAACGAGCTCCAGTACCCGATCCATTAATTGGTGAAAATAAAAATGGAAATTTTATAGTAGTGCAGAGAAATAAAGAGTACAAAGAAAGTGAAACAGAAATATAATATAAAAATAAATGGTAAATATTTATAAGTGGGGTTAACCTTTTTAATTTTCAATTTTTTTTAAAGAAATTTTTATTTGATTTTATTGACATATTTTTTGGTAATATATTTTCGGAAAAAATAGACCCGGAAAAAATTTTAAAGTTATGAAAAATTCATATAATTTCATTAAAATTATTATAAAATAATGATAATACTAATAAATTATTGTTATTATTATTATTATTATTATTTCATTTTGGATGTGATAAAATAATACGAAAAAATCACAGGTAATTGGAATTAACATAATAAAAAAATTTTGGAATTACAATCGTTAATAGAGTACAATAGAATTGGATTGTATTTATAAATTTATGTATGTATTTTTCAGAGCCTGATGAAGACAATAAATAGTCAAAACGTCGCAATAATAACATTAACAAGATTGTTTAATTTGTCATTTATTAATTCCAACTACCTGTGATTTTTTTCGTATCAATAATAATAATTGTATCACACCCACAATTTTTCTGAATAACAAGCACCCCAGAATGATTTTTTGTTCCAAAAAAAAATATTATTATTATTATTGTTATGTTAGAAATATTACTAATATCGGCGATTTTACTTATGAAGAGGATTTATTGTAATTTTTTAAGCCAACTTACCCGATCCGCTTGAAGAAAATTCAATTTCGATGGTGGTTCAATTTTTTTTTTTATGGTGAAAATAATTAATAAATAAAAATTGAATAGTCTCTAAGTGACTTAGGTAAGTTGGCTTAAAGAATGGTAATAAATCCTCTTTAATTGTTATTATTTTTATAATTTTGATTTTTTGATTATATAATAATTTTAATGAAATAAAATGAATATTTCATAACTATAAAATTTTGTCCAGTATTCATATTTTTTTTTGAAAAATACATAAAAAAAATTTAACAAATTTTTTATAAAATTGGGATATTCAACTTTTTTTTTTAATTGTTCGTTTTTTTATATACTTTTCAAAGAAAAAGATAAAATATAAATTTTATCCAAAAACATGAGAGCCAAAATTTTTTCCAATTTTTGAAGGCAAAAAAGCTATCGAAATCTTTATTTTTTTCTTCCACGACATTTTTTATCATAAATTATATTTAAATATAGCCAAAAATAGAGTTGACCCCATACCACTTGTAAATAATATAAAAATAAATTACCTAGCTACTTTGGCAAGAGGAAAGTGGATGCACAGTTTCTGATAAAATTCACAGAATTCTTTGTACGAACGGAATAAGTAAGTCGGGTCTGGCTGACCCTTTCTCTGAATTCTCAAAATATACATGTAATATTTCTCCGGGTCGTAGCGTTTTTGGTAGCCATGAACTTGTACACTTGTAAGTTGTCCTTCTTGCTGCATTCTGTAAGAAAAAAAATTATGATTAATAGTGATAACAAATATACTGACAATTTTTGGTGATTTAATTACTTACGTGTATGTACGTGGGATAAATGACAAAAGTTCACCGTCATTGTGATCACCGGTGAACCTCAACTGTGCCAAATTGTGAAGGAAAAAGTTGAACTGAGTGAACCAATTTTTAAGCGAGCTTTCAATCATCCTCGCGAAAGTCGCAGCAGCTTCAGGATTTGTTTGTCCTGGCAGAAGAGCTTTTTGTACGTAACTCACAGCATCCATCGTCACGCCGGGAATCCCAGAAGATGTCATCTGAGGATTTGTGTATTCATTCATTTTTAATTTATTAAATGTTTCTTTTACAATAATGTCACTTAATTTTTTATTCATTTGTTCATTATCTCGCGTTATTTCTTGTAATAAACTTTCCATTTTTTTTTTCACTTTATTACACTTAATTTTCAATAAAAAAATTTTTTTTTTACAATTTATAATTCAGAAATATTTAAATTAAAAGAAGTTTGTTTCTTTACAAGCTGAGAATAACTGAGATACTAGAAATAATTTCCTCTCAGAGACTAATTAACATAATATAGTGAAGTTAGTAAAGCGATAATAGAGCACCTCTGATAACAAAACAGGATGAGCTCTTCCGTTGTGGTTTTTATATATTTTCATAATATTTACTTCTGTACAACTTATAAGTAAACATAATCGATATGTTATAATTTTTTATAAATATAAACAACTTTAAGTTATTTATATTAAATTGTATTCCATAAAAATGATGTTTGTGAAAACAATTATTTACCAGTCCAAATAAATGTAGAATAAGATTTCCATGTTTCCGAACGATGTTAAAAGCTTGACAGCACAAATCTACAAAGTTATGGAATTTAGCTGATGGTTTATCACCTCCATTTATCACATACGCCATATCTGAAGTCAGTACGAACGGCGTTCGATCCCTAGATTGAAAAAAAAAAAATGTATGAATTAATAATAATACAGGAGTTGGTTATGAAAATTATATTAGCCGACATTCAAAAATTTTTTAGAATTTTTTTTCATTAAAATAAAAAAAAGTTTTGTTTGTAAAAAATGTGCAATTTTTTAAAAATATTTTTTAGTTCTAATTTAATAATTAATTAATTCAAACTTTATTATTATAAGGTAGCTGACAACTTTCAATTTTTTTAATTTTTATAAAAAATTAATTATAATAAAAAAATCCTTTAAAAAATTTTCCACTGATATTTATTTTGACTTTTCACATGTTGAATTTTTTTATTAATTTTTTTTTAGTAATTTAATTGCTATAAAATTATAAAAAAAAATTTCTAATGTCAGTATCTTAATTAATAAGCTATTTTTATCAAAAACCAAAAATTAAAATTAATTTTAATTAATTAAATTAATACAAAATTTTAATTAATTAAATTAAAAAAAAATTAAAATTAATTTAAAGAATTAAATTAATTTCTGAAATAAAATAAAATTACCTTTTAAAGTTACCAAACATTTGCGCGTCGCCTAAAAATTTTCCAAAGTCAATATGAAATAAATGACCCGAGGTCTTGAGCATAATATTGTCATTGTGCCTGTCGCAAATTCCCAGGATATAAGTAGCGACACTGTAACCCGCGCAGGAGCGAGTAAAATTTTCCACCGCTCTTTCATACTCCAATTCCGAAGGATTATGTTTGGCAAGCCACTCGGCGATAGGTCTGTCCTTAAAAGACCCGGTGAGACCGAACTCAACTTGAATTTTTCTCAAAGTTTCAGCATTGGTCACCATCTCAATCATTCCTCGTTTATTTCCCGTAGGCACACAAGCGAATGTCACCATCTTTAAATCCAAACCCTCTTTGAGCCATAATTTGTCCATTATTCTTACCATTTGAATCGTCAACATATCTTGCTGCAAATCATCTCCAACTTTAAATATCGCCGGACTAATGACATTGTCGCAGCTTATGAAGCTTATTTTTAATGGCAATGTAAATGATGGAAAATATGAACAAGTTTGGATATTTATTCCAAATACTTGTCTGCTGGGTGACAAAGGCAAACAAGTACCCTCATCTTCAGCCAATTGACCATGTATATTTTGCAATCCTAACTTTAATGATTCCATTCTTAATGATTCTTTAGTTGTTTTTATATTTTCAGCAATTTCATTGAGATTTTTGACTAATAATTGCTGAGTAAGAAAACTATTTCTCAAAGCTTCGCCAATTACTGCCAGCAGCGCGCGAAGCATTAATTGTAGTCTTCTTTGGTACCGAGTGAAACTTATACTTCGGTCATCTTCTTGTGATGATTCACCAGAATTCTGTAAATAAATAAATTTATTTATTTATTTATGTACATAAACGTCAATCGGTATTATACATCTATTACTTAATTTTTTATTTTTTAAATTATAAATTTATTAAGATAAGTATTTGGGCTGCATTCGAAAATACTCTATCTCTAGATATATAATTAAGGAATCGCTTGTATCTTGTGAACTATTAACATTTTTAAAGATATAAGCTCAACCCGATGTTACACTCATCGAGACCTTTCATTTGAGTACCCACATCAATTTTTCATATATTTTTCATATATATATATATATATATGAAAAATATATCAAAAATGCATGTGGGTACTCAAATGAAAGCTCTTGATGAGTGTAACATCGTAATGAGCTTATATCTTTAAAAACGTCAATATTTCCGAAAGTACAATGCAATATAACAAAAGTCATTATTTAACAATGCCTAATTAATATTAAAAAACATTAATAATAATTCGACGTTATTCCAACATACCAAAAATTTATAAATTTTTTTAGAATTTAAAAAAATAACTCACCTGAGGACTCTGCCCAGGAAGAGACTGCGTCAAAAGCCAATAAATATGATGCGCGACCCTCGGCGACAGTAGCGCCCTTTCCAACAAAAACCTCGCCAGCGGCGAAGCTTCATAAGTCTCATGCTTCAGCGCCTGAAGCAACTGCGGAAGATAATCCACCAGCTCATCATTACTCAACTCTCTAATCCACCCGACTGCCATCTCCCTAACTTTAATATCCGGAAAACAAGGAAGTAGTAATTGAAGCGCTTGAACAGGTGGAAGCGGGCTCCAAACTCTCAGCGAAGCGTGAAGATCTGGCAAACAAGCCCAGTCCCAGCTATGAGCAGCCAACAAGACTTTCGGCAGAGCTTCCGGAATTTCATGCAAGTAGTGTCTTTTTTCCCACAAAATTTCCCTTTCATCAATCGGCGGCCTAGAGAAAGTATCCTGCTGGCAAATATCAATCAATAGCTCCTTAGTATTTTGATCCAGCAAATTAATATCCAGCGACTCTACATCATGGTCTCTCAATTCCGTAGGAAAAAGCACCCTTCCTCCATAATCCGGGAGTTCTAGTCCAATTATCGGATTGGTCTCTCCATAAGGATGGATCCCTGGAGCCGGAGCAGGTCCTAGTCTTTTATCAGCAGCCGCTGGCCAGAGTGACAAAAAAAAGTTCCCTTGGCTCATGACCCCATCATAGTCAAAAAATTGTATTGCACCCCATCCAAGCTCCTCTTTTTGCATCGAACCTTCTCCCGAATTATTATCATGCTCAGTAGGCTGCAAAGTGCGCCCATAAATCACCAAAACCAACCTCGCTTCACGCGGAACTTGACAAACACTTAACCCGCGAAATTCCAGCCAGGTATTAAATAAAATTCTCGAGTAAAAATTGACATTGAGCGTCATTGGCTCAGAAAGCACCGGATTACCAACTGGTCTTGTTCCGTGGAAAATTTGCGCAGCTACAATATAATCATCGTGCTTCCAAGAGTTAGGAATTCTATGCAAAGCTCCCACTCTTACTAGCACAGTGTCCAACACCTCCGAAGACACCAGACTATTTGCCAAATATTCCCCGCGCAATTTATGAAAATCAACTCTGAAGGCATTGCAGTAAGTCTCAACAAGATCTTGAATAGCATCGCGAATTTTATGGCAATGCGACCCCAGAAGCTCAGGAAATTTTGTCCTCAAAGTAACAACCGAGTAATCACCATCTTCATGCAAAATCTCCGGCTTTTTACACTCAATATTAGTCGTGTGCATTTGGGGTAAAAATTGGCAACAAGCATTAACAAAATTATCCACCGCTTCTGTAATTTCGTAAGTTTCAATATTTCCCATTAGCGCGCAAACAGCTTTAACGGACTGAACAACCCCTCGGGGTTGTAATTGTGGCAAAAGACTAGAACTGTGATTAGGTGCTGCTAATTGAATAGCAGCTGTTTCAACACGTTCCATTTCTTTTTCAACTGTCTCTAATAAAATAATCAACGTGTCGTAAGAAATTGGCTCCAGAGGTTCGTTGGGTAGGATATCTTCCAATTTTAAATCTTGATCTCTATTGTCGTCTTGCAGAGACCTGGCAATGGATCTTTTTATCTGCGCTCGGGTAATTATCGCCAATTCAATGTCCTTTTCGAGTTTGATGCACTGATGAATGTACTCGTACTGCGCTAAAGTGGTGTTGGGAGCTAAATATTCAGCCAGACCCCAGACTCTTAGGCAGTATTTGTCTGCATTTACAATATTGTCTTCTAACGAGCAAGCTACATTAAGAATTACATGCTCTACGCTGCAAGATACGTTGCAAGTAAAATTAATGGACGGTGCTACTGGGTTGTCTGAATTGTCTGACCCACCCACCAATTGAGGGTGGACTACAAGCTTAATGCTGGTCCCGTCGGGGTAAAGATTCTCCATCATGGGACTGATCACGTGGCCGATGTTTGTGTTGGGATCGTTAAAGGGAAACTCGCTTCTTATGGATTTGATCATCAGGTGGAACGCTTTGAGATCGCAGTCTTGTAAAGAGGCTCGGGCTTTTACGACGGTGATATTTTCGTAGAGGCGAGTTTGGCGCTTTCGTCGGCGGTCTAGGGACGTACGGCGTTTTTCTATCGTGTTCCAGGCTGAGGAATTTCGGGGAGGTAATGGTGGAGCTGCGGGAGAGACTGCTGGAGAAGTTGGGGTTTTTTCTACTGCTGCGTAAACTGGGTCGGAGCTTATGCTCTCGTTTGTGCTGTACATGTAGTCGAAAGGGTCGAATGGGTCGTATACTGAGCCGTCGGTTTGGCTCGGTTCATTTTTTGAAGGGGTTGGTTCTTTTAGTGCTTCAGTCTTTATGAGTAGGGGGTCAAAGGCTTCTAGGACGCTTACTCGGACATTTGTTTTGTCTTCGGGGTTTTCAAATGCACTCAGATCTATCAGGTTATTATTTGGCTTTTTTTCAATTACTTTTAATACTTGGAGCTGGTTGTCTTCGATGGGGAAAATTGGCTTGGTTGCAGGTGGGCCGGTTAGAGGTGGGCGGTAGTTCATTGGTAGTGGTGGGATCTAAAAATAATAAGATAAAGGAATGTTTTAATATTAATAGTGAATAATTTTAGTTTTTATGATACGAAAATTAGCCGACGTTTAGCAATTTTTTAATTAAATAATTATAAAAAAAAGTTTGGAAAATGGTTGACTGTAAAGGTTATCCCTGCAACTTCCCGCTACATAATAATAGGTAATCGGAAAAATATTGACATTTTTGAAGATATAAGCTCATCTTGATATTACACTCAACAAAACCTTTCATTTGAGTACCCACATGCATTTTTGATATATTTTTCATATATACATATATATAATATATATAAATATATGAAAAATTGATGTGGGTACTCAAATGAAAGGTCTCGATGAGTGTAATGTCGAGATGAGGTTATATCTTTAAAAATGTCAATAATTAAGAAATGACCTTGTATCTTGTGAACTATTGACATTTTTAAATATATAAGCTCATACCGATGTTACACTCGTCAAGACCTTATATTTGAGTACCCACATTAATTTTTCATATATTTGATATATTTATATATATTATATATATATGTATATATGAAAAATATATCAAAAATGCATGTGAGTATTCAAATGAAAGCTCTTGATGAGTATAATATCGGAATGAGCTTATATCTTTTAAAAGTTCAATAGTTAAGAAAATACAGTACAATTTAACCAATATCTTGTGAAATATTGTCATTTTTAAAGATATAAGCTCATCCTGATGGTACACTTATCGAGACCTTTCATTTGAGTACCCACATCAATTTTTCATATATTTGATATATTTATATATATATATGTATATATGAAAAATATATAAAAAATGCATGTGGGTACTCAAATAAAAGCTCTTGATGAGGGTAACATCAGGATGAGCTTATATCTTTAAAATTGTTGATATTTAAGAAAGTATATTATTTAATAAAGCAAAGTTGCTATCCCTGTTTGAGGTCAGAGTTAGCTGTTCTAAATTTTTTTTATAACAAATCAATTATTATTAAAAAAAATATTTTTTTAAATTCACACTAATTTTTTTTTTTTAATTTCTAAATATAAAATTATTTTGCTAAAAAAAAAAATTTTTTTTTTTATAAAAATCTAAAAAATTGTCTGTTAAATTCAGTATCATAATTTTTTTGATAAATAATTTAAATTAGTGATTTTGATGAAACTAAACCTAAACAATTATAAATAATAATCTACAATGAAATAAAAATAAAAAAAATTCACTCAACAATTGATGATTAATTTAAATATGAAAATATTAAATGGTGAGTGCTAATTAAAACCTTGACATTAAAGATACCTGAGCGAAGAAATAATTACTAAAAGTAAAAAAATTCCAAGCCAGCTGGAATACAAGATAAAATATAATAAAAAATAAAGATACTATTTATATTTAATATAAAATGTTTACCTGTGGAATACCGTCACCGACACTCTCGGCTTGCGTTATCACCGGGCTAATTCCCGGAGTGCCAGGTGTGCATGGCGCAGTAGAAGCGCGAGGTCCGGGAGAAGGCGAGTGATAGCGAAAGTCATGGGTCTGGTACGCCGCTGCTGAGCTGTTGCTTCTCGAAACTCTTGTTGTTCTTTTGAGAAGTGACGGGTGTGTATCCCACTTGGGCTCGATAGAAGGCTGCGATATCGTCGGGACAGCTGACGCAATTGTGCTGCTACAATAGTCATCCAAACTAGACTCCGATTTAACGGGACTGGTGAAATTAATTAGGTCGGTTGTGTTGGAGGATGCTGGGCCGACTGTTGTTGTTGAATTACGCCGACTAGGTATCGGCGGTGGAGCTATTATGGGGGAATTTTTTGACTGTGTACCTCCAGGCCTTGGTCTGCTTCTTAATTGTAATCTGCATTGATAATTTTAACCAATTAATTGTAATAAATAATAACATATTTTTATACACTGAGAAAATATTTTATTTGCTATAGTCAATCAATAATAATTATCAATTGTATATAATTTATATTATTAAGAGAATAAGAAAAATTTTGTGTCCATCATAATCATACGGTTTTTTTTAGTCAAATTTAGAGTCCATGCAAAGGCCTTGATTTATATTTGTGTCTTTTAAAGGTTTCATTTCATTCTCACCAATAGTCAATTTAATATGATAAGTATTTAGGCTGCATTTAAAAATTCTCTATCTCTAGATACATAATTAAGAAATGACCTTGTAGATTGTGAAATATTGACATTTCTTAAGATATAAGCTCATCCTGATGTTACACTCATCGAGACCTTTCATTTGAATACCCATATGCATTTTTGATATATTTCTCATATATACATATATGTAATATATATATAAATATATAAAATATATGAAAAATTGATGTGAGTACTCAAATGAAAGCTCTTGATGAGTGTAATGTCGGGAAGAGCTTATATCATTGAAAATATCAATAGTTTACGAGATACAATGTCATTTCTTAATTATCGACATTTTTAAAGATATAAGCTCATCCTGATGTTACACTCATTGAGACCTTTCATTTGAGTACCCACATCAATTTTTTAGATATTTTTGATATTTATATATATGACATATATGTATATATGAAAAATATATCAAAAATTCACGTAGGTACTCAAACGAAAGCTCTTGATGAGCGTAACCCCGGAATTAGCTTATATCTTTAAAAGGGTCCATTGTTAAGACAGTACAGTGCAATTTAACAAATATCTTATGAACTTTTGACATTTTCAAAAATATAAGCTCATCCCGACATTACACTTATTAAGAGCTTTCATTTAAGTACCCACATTAATTTTTCATATATTTGATATATTTATGTATATGTATATATGAAAAATATATCAAAAATGCATGTGGGTACTTGAATGAAAGCCCTTGATGAATGTAACATCAGAATGAACTTATATCTTTAAAGATGTCAATATTTAAGAAAATACAGTGGAATTTAACAGAAGATTATTCAATAAAGCAAAATCTTATATATTTATAATTTACAAGACGGCAGTCATATAGTGACTGCAAGGTTGCTAGTTTTCTTTAATCTTTTAAAACTCAAACTTGAAGTAATTTACTCTACAATTTTTTCTTTACCAACCGGAAGTTATTAAACCAATTAAAGTCTTGATAAACTCTTGAATTTTCTTACTTTTAATTCACATAACACATAAAAAAAACTCCGTGTTGAAAATAAAGGAAACAAAACATTTATCTCAGTGTACTTAAATAATCAAAAAGCTTACTTGTCCATAGAAGTCGAACTATCTACTTCAGAAACATTACTGCTATTAGACTGACTACATTGTTGGGCGGTGAAAAAATTATTAGAGCACTCTAACTGTTTTTGGAGTTTAAATTTCTCCAAGGCCAAACTTTCCAAACTTAGAGCTTGTGCTCTCTCTAAGTCTTCCTGAAACTGTTTATCATAATCCATGACAGCTCCCCGTTGAATACTTTCATTCTTAGCGTGGTTTGACATCTAAAAAAAAAAAAAAAAAACAAAAATAAACACCAAAAATAGTATAAAAAAACTTGAGAATTTTTTTATTGTACAAACCATTTTCTCCAAGGAATAAAAATAACTTAACGATGACGCCACGAGTGCAATTTGCAAATTTTATCAAGCGTAATGTGCACTTACAACCAAAGGATCCCAAGATCTTAGATTGTATATATTAAAATATTATTATGACTATTATTGTGACTAAATAATCAGCCAATATTAATGGAGTAAACACTACAGTCCATTTTATTAAAGCACCAAGCTTTTATTTATTTTAATTTTATTTTAATAAACAATCACTTACCCTGGCATTATTGCTACCGAATAAATTCAGTGTTGACTAACATTTAATTTTATTATTATTATTATTATTATTATTATTATTATTTTAATATGGGTATAAAATTAATGAATCAACACCGTTACTTCCGAGGCTTCTGAACTAGCAACCGTGTCATCGCGGTGACATCCTCAATGGATATGCGTTATATATGTGTACTGCAGTTTTAAGTGTAGAAATTAAAATAAATGTATACATACATATTTTAAATTGTATGTGTAAAGTTAAATGTAAATATGTGTTAAAATGGTTAAGAACTCTACTCAACTCTACAACTCTATATAGTAAGAGTGCTGTAAACTAACCAATTTAATTTAGAACACTCTGAAGTTGTCTTTGAATAAATTCAGACTAGATGGCGCCACCTCCTGGAATGAAAAATAAAATTAGCAAACAGCTGACAATTTTTAGAATTTTTTTTTATTGATAAAATTATTGCAAAAAAATTAAAAGAAAAAATTGCACTTGTAAAAAATTAAAAAAATTATACGTGCAATTTTTTAAAAATATTTTTTGCTAATTCAATTAATAAAAAAATAAAAATCTGTAATTGGAAAATAACACTGAAGTTGACTGACATAAAAAATATTCTTAGAAAATTTTATGAAAATTAAATTAGTATAAAAAAAATTTAATTAAAGAATTTCACATGTGTGAAAATTAATAAAAATTTTAAAAAGTATTTTTTTATTGTAATTAATTTGTTACAAAAATTTTTAAAATTGACAGCTGACGGCTAACTTCAGTATTATATCGGAAAATGGTTATGAGTGAAAGACTTAAAGCTTGCAAATAATAAATAGATGTCAAATACTTGCATAAGTGTCATTAATAAAATAAATAACAGTTGACAGCTATAATCTATATCAATTAATTAATTGTTGATTGATATATTACCTTGTTTTTTTATTTTGTCACTATATATATTTTTATTTTATTATAACTGAGTTGAATATGGCGGTGAGTTTTTTTTATTTACTAACAATTTAGTTATTTTTAAATATTCTTCTTTTTTTTTATGAAAATTAATTTAGCAGACATTTAACAATTTTTAGAATTTTTCTATCAAATAAATTATGGAAAAAAAATTAACATGTAGAAATTTTAAAAAATTAAAAATGCAATTTTTTAACAATAATTTTTTAGAATTAATTTAATTGTTAAATAAAATACAAAATTGGTCAAGTGACAGCTAACTTTAATGTCATCATTTTTTTTTAATTGATATTTTTTAATATTAACACTTCGATCACATCGTTTGTATCCTCGGTTAGACGACTGCTTTTAAAAATATAATTAAATATTATTGTTGATATTTTTTTTTTTAAATACAGCAAAGACCAGATGACCATCGGCGAAAATGGAACAGAGAGGAATACGAGCGGTTGGCGCTCCAACGTCTCCAGGAGGAGATCGCCGAGGAAGAACTGGGTATTCCAAAGCAACCTGCGGTGAAGAGAGAACTGCTGAAACAGCGAGATTATAAAGTTGATTTGGAGTCGAAACTTGGGAAGAGTGTAGTCATTAATAAAAATACACCTTCTTCGCAAACTGGAGGGTAATTAAATTATTTTTAATAATTATAATTGTTTACTAATGTCTTCAATTTTTTTTAGATATTATTGCAATGTTTGTGATTGTGTTGTAAAAGATTCAATAAATTTCTTGGATCACATAAATGGCACTAAACGTAAGTATTTAGGTTGCATTCGAAAATGCTCTAACTTTAGATACATAATTAAGAAATTACCTTATATCTTGAGAACTATTGATATTTTTAAAGATATAAGCTCATCTTGATATTGCATTCATCAAGACCTTTCATTCGAGTACCCACATCAATTTTTCATATATTTTATATATTAATATATATATAACATATATGTATATATGAAAAATATATCAAAAATGCATATGGGTACTCAAATGAAAGCTCTTGATGAGTGTAACATCAAGATGAGCTTATATCTTTAAAAATGTCAATAACTGAGAAATGGCCTTGTATCTTGTGAAATATTGACATTTTTAATGATATAAGCTCACCCCAACATTACACTCATCAAGAGCTTTCATTTGAGTACCCACATCAATTTTGATATATTTTTTATATATTCATATATA